CTTCAGAGGGTTCCATGAAATGAAGACTCACCACAGTCACCAAGCAAGTCACTATTATGGGAGGCACAGTGGCTAACATGGTATTGATTAAACAAAGCAGCCACTGGCTACGGAGAAAACAGGAGATCAATAAAGATTGTCTCAGATCACATGGTACCACAGCCACCTCTGAAAATGTATTAGAGAAGCTGGAGAGATGTCTCAGTGATTAAGAGCACTGGCTTTTCTTCTAGAGGACCCAGGTTCAACTCCCAGCAAGCACATGGGGCTCACAGTCATCTGTAACTCCAATTCCAGGAAGCTCCAGCACCCTCTTCTGGCCTCCTCAGGCACTGCATGCACATGGTGCACAGACATACATGTACACAAAGCCCCCATGTATATAAGACAAAAATAAAATTTAAAAAATAATGAGATGGAGAACAAGAGAAGAAAATGCCCAGCATTGACTTCTGACCTGCACAGAAGCACAAGGTAAGTAGACTTGACCACACCATGCTAGCTAGTTTTAGGTCAACTTGACACAAGCTACAATCATCTGAGAGGAGAGAAAACACCTCCATAAGATCATGCTGCTGTAGGCAAGCCTCTAGGACATTTTTAAAGTTAGAGATCAATGTGGGAGGGTCAAGTTCATTGTGGCTGAAGTCATCTCTGGGCTGGTGGTCCTGGCTTCTAGAAGAAAGCAGGCTGAGCAAGCCATGGTGAGCAAGTCAGTAAGCAGCACCCCTCCGTGGCCTCTGCATCAGCTCCTGCCTATAGGTTCTGCCCTGGCCTGACTTCCCTTGATGATGAACAGTGATGTGCAAGTGTGAGCCAAATTAACCCTTTCTTCCCCAAGTTGCTTTAGTCACGGTGTTTCATCACAGCAATCCTAACTTAGACACACATTTACCTACACATGCTACACACACACACACACACCAAAAGTATATAATCACATTCTAAGTGTGTCTAGAGCTTTATGCTCCACTCTAAAATATGAAGAGCTTAAAAGTTGTCACTCATGTTATTCTTTGTTTTCATTTTGTGTATGTGTATGAGCATTCTGCCTGCATGTATGCAATGCGTTGCCTGTGTACAGTGCCCCACAAAGGCCAGAGGAGGGCATCAGATACCTTGGAACTGTAGTTATAGCCAGTTGTGGGCAAGCAGATGCCATGTGGGTACAGAGAACTGAATCCAGGTCCTCTGCAACAGTAGTAAGTGCTCTTCCCATCAGAGAACTGAGCTCACCAGGCAACAGAGAATCCCAACAGTCAGTACACAAACAGGTGAACAGAGATGTTGCTTGTCGTGAGTGTATGCCATGAGAGCCAGAAAGGAAGCAATGAACAGCTGGAAGCTTCCAGTGAGCTGGCCTCAGAGGTGAAGCTTCTTGCTGCTCAGTCCTAGCTCTGTATGCACACGCGCATGTGCACACACACACACTTTTATGACATCTACTCCAGGATCTATTTAAGAAAGTTTCTTCATGGATCCAGCAAGAAGAGACAGTGGCTGCCTCTGCATTCTACTCTTAAAGCAGATACAGGCAATCCCAGCCCCTTCTATCCTAGGACCTCACATAAGGAGGAAAAACAGGATGGGGATCATAGCTCAGAGTCACAGGCTTAAGACAAATGGTCTTCTCAGGACACTTAACCCACGTGGTCACCTTACCCAGAGTGTTCCTGTATGGTATGGCCATCAAGAGCTGCCACTGAAGTAACTCTCAGGTCTACTTTAAGGGGCTCCTAGGGAAAGCATAGGAACTTCAAACAAACAAAATGTGTGTGTATGTATGTACACACACACACACACACACACACACACACACGAATGCATGAATGGAAGGGCTTGGGAAATGGCTCCCTAGCTAAGAGCACATATTGTTCTTGCAGAAGAGCCAAGTTCAATTCCCAGCACCCACATCCAGCAACTCCCTACTGCTTGGAATTCCAACTGCAGGAAGCCAATGCCACTCTGGCCTCCTTGGGAAGACACATACACATGTACATACACATAAATAATAGTGATTTTTAAAAATGAAGTCTCAAGACTTAACAGCCACAATAAACTGTACCCAGTAGCAAGCCAGTGGAACACTAACCCTGATCCTACAGGTCTCTATTTCTGTCCCTTTATCTAATGAACATTGTCTGTCTTTCAACAGTACATGCTAACAGGCAGAGTCTGAAGAGAAACACAGCAAAAGAATCAGACTCATCTATGACAAGGGTTTGGGAAAGCTTTCAGAGCGTAGAAAAAATAGACATTATGCAAGAAAGAGTCAAATACACAGGTCAGAGTCTGTATAGTTGCTGGAAACCAAAAGCCACGTAGGAGAGATGGAGAGACCTCACAGAAACTTCCCAGGTGGGAATGTGGAGAGTAAAAAGAATGAAAAGCTGGACACAGTATCTACGAACTGTGAGGTGGCTGAGACCGCAGGCACAGTGAGTACACAAGATTAAAAAGAAAGGCAGAGCAGAACACCATGTGCAGGCACACGCCTGTCACTCCCAACCCTGGAGAAGGGGTCAGCGCTTAGCAAGTGGATCAGGGTGTCAAGGCCAGCCTGGGCTAAACACACAAACAAAACCCTGTCCCTGTGACAGCAGTGTGCTGGAAAGTTCTGGAAAGACATAGGAGGAACACAGATGAAGCTCAGAGAACTGTGAAAACCTACACCTCAGTGGTTCCAAACTGCAGGTCTTAAACGTCAAAGGCGAGCTCGTTTTACCTGCTTTTAACACAATTCATTGGAATTCCTTACACAACTGCTCAGGCAAGGAAACGGTGCAGGGAGATGTTTCACGTTGAAAAGAAATGACTCTGCATTGGCAAAAAAATCTTTCAACTGTCAGTGTTGATTTACAGGTAAATCACCAACCTATAAACTCCTAAGGTCCAGGAGGAAAAGACTCTAGGGGACTCTGGGTTGGACTTTTTTGACATGACAAAAGCATGCTCTGAAAGAAAAAGCCCTGTAAAGAAGATGTTTTTATTATCAAGGCTTTTTCATAACTTGGCATTCTACATGGTGTATTTCTATAATACTCATTTTAAGATAAATACTTGAACTTTGAAGGTTAGCAAAATAATAAAGCCACCAAATTGGGGGGGGAGGGGAGATACAAAATACATCTGACAATGGAACTATATCCAAAATATACAGAATCCTTAAAACTGAGTAAGAAAAGAACTCAGTTCAGATAGCTGCCTCTGCAGTTAAAAGCACCGGCCACTCTTGCACAGGACCTGAATTTAATCCCCAGGGCCCACACAATGGCTCACTGCATCTTTAACTCCAGTTCCAGATCCGATGTTCTCTTCTGGCCTCCATGGACAATGGGCACACACATGTAGTGCACATACAGACTTGCAGGCAAAACACTCACACACATAAAATCATCGAGAAGACTAGCATCTTCAGTGAATTATGAATTCAAAGCAATGGCGTAGCACCACACACATATTCCAATGACTAACACCCAGAAAACAGATCACATAAATATTGACAATAATGGGGAGAATAGGAACTATTACATATTGCTGGTGGGATACAAAATACTAAAGAGACTTTGGAAAATGACAGTTTCTTCCAAAGCAGTCTCTGGTCTATCCAGAAGTTGCAGTGAGACTTTCACCCAGGTAACACTGGAACTGTATAGTCGCACATACTTGTACAAGAGCATTTCCTCCTGTGTTTCAAGAATTAAAAGCACTCAAGGTCCATCAAGAGAGTAGATACCTGGGCTGTGATATGTCCCGGCAAATCCACACACTGCTGCTGAGCCATGAAAAGGCATGCAGGAAACAGACACAAACCAATCAGCCTGGAAAGGCTCATACAGACTGTGTGACTCCAACTCTGAATTCTAACCTTCTGGAAAAGGCAACAGTAGAGAAACAGTGTGAAGACAGATGTTCACCAGGAGTTAAGGAGGAAGGGGCAGTAGCCGACACACAGGGACTTGGGAGATCGTAACTCTATTCTATATGAAGCTGTAATGATGGATACATATGCTTTTGGCAAAATTATCTTTCAGGACAGAAATGGGCCCTAATATGAACTATGGACTTTAGTTAACCTGAGTACTGATTCGTTCATAGTCAATGAAGCACGCTCCTGTAAAATGTTAATAGAAGCTGGGTGGAGGGGCATGGAAACTCCCTGTACTTTCTGCTCAACTTTCTGTAAATGCCCGAGTACTGTGAAAAAGGAACTCGAGAAACTAAAAATAGAGCCACCATCTGGCGCCTCCATCCCATTCCCGGGTATATGGGCAAGAGACCTAAGCACTGGAAGGAGTGCCTGAACCCACGCTGACTGTGGCATCTTTCACAATGGCTAGATCACGGAGTCAGTATGAGGCTTATCAACAGATCAACAGTTTTATTCTGCCAAAAAGAATACTGTGTCACAGGAAAATGATCCTGGAGATTACGTCAAGCAAAATAAGATAGAAATAAGATAAATATTCATGTTATCTCTCATATGTAAAATCTAATTTAAAAAAAAAAAAGGACACAAAAGTGGAAGGGAGAAAGGAGGTGATAATTTGACCCCGAACATTGTTCCTGGAGTAGACACAAAGGAGGGTTAAGGGGGTAATGATCCAAGCCCGTGACATATATATAATGCCATAATTACATGCATTATTCTTATAGCCAACATGCATTAATATAGAGGGGAGAAAAGAGGAACACAAGTTATCACCCCTTCTCCAATGAAATGAATACTGTAATAATCATGTTGACTTGTTCCAAAAATTAGACCAAAAAAATGTCTCTAGAAGAAAATGCATGTCTAAAAGCGCTGTAGCCAAATTGCTAATTAATGAGAACCACAGTTTGCCCATAACAATTAAACCATGAGCTGGACAGCTACTGAAAGCTAACACGCATCCTTTTGCAGTCTCACACACTAGTCCCAACCCAGCGCTTGTCAAGGCAGTTGTGGCCACTGAAGCTCAAGAAGAAACACTTTAAATAAGAATTCATACTCCACAGAAGTAAGAATCTTTCAACTTTTATTTCTAGGATACATTCATCCGGAATCTTTTTGTTTCTTTACAATTTCCCCCTAAGAGAAATAAATGAATACAATAAAAATATAATCCAACTACCAGCAATGTTTTTAACCAGAAAGGAATCTAAAATCTCCGGTGTGATAATATAGGATACATTTTCTAAAAAATATAAATTTCATACCAGAAATAAAGCCTGAATATTCTCTTTTGTTAAAAATATAATTTTCCTTCTTTGCTCTTCCATTTAGTTCTAAAGTCTATACTTAAACCAGTAATTTTCTCTCTTCCTGTAGAGGTTTTGTCCAGCTTGTGCCCATTTCTACACTGTGAGTCAACTAGCTGCACAAGTCTTAGAGATGGCAGGCCACAGGGCTGTAGCAAGGCTTCAAGACACGCTCATCACTGACGTAAAAACTCCCACTAGCAAACTCAGGCCTCTTTACTATTTTATCCTGTTCATGAAATTAGGAAATATATACAAAGGAACGCTTACAAACTGTAAATCTCAATTGGGGGAAAAAAAAAAAAGCACTAATCTGTGTTGACTAGAAAGGTAGCTGGCTGGGACAGAGGTAGGGATAGAACTGCCACAGGCACACTTATACTGGGGGACATAATTGCAAGGATGCCAGAGTGTAGACTCGGGGGGTCTCAGAGGCTGGCTGCTGTGCGGTGTGACATGACTGCTTTTCTCAATCAAGAAAAGGACCAAGAAACAGAAACAGTTCTCCAGCTCAGAGACTGACACCGTACTGAGTAGTCAAGCCATCCATCTCTGGGACAGGAAGTCAAAGTCAGATGGCTTTCCCCCTCTTCGGATGGGTGTCTCAGCAAAGCTTCAGTAGTTTGTGGGTAATCAACCCATTTCATAAGAGGCTTAGAGAGCCAACATAAATGGCCTGGGGGCAGGTACCTTCATTTAAGAAGGTAGCAGAAAGTCTGATTATAAACACGGGATAACATACTCGAGACAGAGTGGAACCCTCTACCTCCAAGTAAACGGCCATCATACATAGTAACTTCTGCAGTGCGTTCTGAAGAGCATAGCAAACCGAGCATAGGTTAGGATGTGCTGACAAACCCATCCAGGTGAGGGCCACCATCTAGTTTCCTAGGAAGGACAGTAGGCACATAAGGAGGCTCTCTACCAGTCAAACTGGACAGGCTTAGGAAGGCAAAGCTAGCACTGCGGGTTAATGGCACCTAGCCCGAAACCTGAAGAACATCCTGAGCAACTTAAAGGATGAGACACCTGGCAAGAGGCTTCCCTCAGGAGCTGAGCTGAGGGGCAACTGGAAGGGGCTGCCTTCCCACACTGCCTGTCCTCTGTGACCCTGCAGGCATAGCACAGGGCACTGAGGAAATGGCTGCTGGCCTGACCCCTCCCCCCTTTGGCTCTCTGATACATTTGCCCTTCCCTTTAGACCTCCAACCCCTTTCCCCAAGAGAATATTCAGGCCATTTTTTTCTTTTTCTTTTTTCTATTTGTTTCTTTTGGTGGTTGTTTTGCATTAGTAAGGAATAGACTAGCAGTCTGGGAATTCTCTAACTCAGGGGATGTCTTATAAGATACTCGGGAGAATATAAAATTCAAATACCATTTACAGAGGACTCAAATAAACCTGTCTCATACACTGGATGATCTAGAGCACTGAAGCTGACCAATGAGACATTTGTTACGCTCTGAAAAGGTTTAGCTATCGGACTTTAAGCCAATGTCCATATTCCAAGCAATCAGTCATTTATACTGAATTAGCACATCTGTGTTTTCCACATACAACAACAGAGTGAGGTGCTTTAAAATACACACATTAAAACCAATTTACTCCCTTTTACAATCGTTATCTTCAGTCTTACATTTGAAATTTCAGCCTGAATTGTCAACGAGAGTAACAGCAGACTGGGTGACCATATCACTTAAATGAGATGATAAGGCAAGACAACGTCAGCATTCAACTTAGAAAACACAGATTAGAAATCTGTTTATACACCTCGTGTCGGAAAAGAACCTCACACAGGCAGGGCCGCAGAGACCTTGGACAGCTCCTGCCTGCACCGCTTCCTGGTCCAGGATGCATCTCCTCATTGTCACGGGGCTTGCACAGCAACTGGGCGTATTCCAGACTAGGCACATGTCCCAACAATTGTCCTGTATTCTCCCTGGATTACAAAATAACCTCAGTTCTTCAGGAGCCACAAAAAATAAAAAATAAGAAGCTTTAAAAGAAGGGTTAAGATCTGTTCAAATACACTGTGCAGTAGACATTACAGGATAATAGATGGAACTGAGGACTAGAAAGGCACAGGGAACTTTCTCCAGATTCTACCACATCAGATGAGACTGTATGGCTAAAACTACTCATTTTAACCAGATTATGGGTAAGGGAAACGAATTATTACCAGAATTTGCATCATTTTCTTGGAAAATCTAACAATAAAACATTAATACATACTTTTTAAACGTATTTATTTGAAGAATCTTTGGTAACAATTACGTGTATCTTCCACATTAAAGGACTTTTAAAAACAAATGTCAAAATGAGCTGACTGCCCAGCATCTGAGAGATAAGCTGGGGCTGGGCTTGGGCCCCGCAGACGGCCCTCGCCTGACTGCTCATCTGACTGCTCATGCATTTCAACACAGTACATGGAGCTGTGAACATACAAAAGGAGAGGCCAATACCAGAAAGGAATTAGACAGCAGTGAGAATCAATGACAAAACATAACAATGACAACTGTTCATAAGTCATTTATTTTTAAATTATAAGATTTACAATGCCTTGATTATGCAAAATATCATAATAGAAATTAAACTAAATCAATAAACCAAAAGAGAAAGAAAACTTTTTCCTTACATATCAGTACTTAAACCAGCTTTGTCCCAACCGCATCTTATAAAGTAAGCTAATTTCAAATGTTTCACTTGCAGGTTTAATTTCTCATTTTCAGCGTTTTATGGAACTGTAATTTTTTTCAAATGCTATTATAGCTAGCATTTATGCTGCAAGAGCAGCAGAATCTCACGAGTGTGATCAAATGTGGAGGTGAGGCCCAGCCTTCGGCTTTTAGCCACAGACAGAAATCATCCACAGCAATCAGTAGAGCAAGATACTCTTGAGTGGCCAGAGCGTGGCTTAGAGCTGGTGGCAGCTGCTGTCCTGTCGCTCTGATCTGGACCAGCAGTACATGGCAGTGTTACTGCTGTGGATAGTAGGACTGTTGCGGGGGCTGAGGGAAGGGGTAGGCAGGCTGCTGGGGTCCTGGGTATGGAGCCTGTCCAGGGCTCTGGTGATACACCGGTGGGTACGGCATATTATACTGGCCATACGCGTAGGGGTTGTAGCCCATGGGCATGGGCATTTGGCAATACCTAATGGTGAGAAGAAAACAAAACACTGGGTTGGTAAACCAGACCCTACAGAGCGCGACACAGTCACTGCTTTAACGTCAGTTATTAACAAGAGCCTCTTTCCTCTACTTTCATTCTTCTGGGGAAAGGGAGTGAGGCAAAGATCTTGTTTCAAGATACACAGAGAAAAAGCATTCTTATAATTAATTAAAAAGAATATCATCACACTTTTAATACCACCCAGAAAATAATAATGTTGAATCCAACTACTAAAGGACAAATAAAAATAGAGACAGTTGGTTTTAGTGAGGCAACCTAGTTCTCTACACATGTTCCTATGGCACTAGAGAGATGGCATAGCAGAACTGGTTGCTCTTCCAGGACAGAACCATGGATGGATGGATGGATGGATGGATGGATGGATGGATGGACAGATGAACGAATGAATGATCCCCTGATCCCCTGAACAAGGCTCACCTTCAAATGCATCCCATAACTAAGTTTCTAGTCATCGGTTTCTTAGATACTGAGATTTCCAAGCATCAGTATATAAACAAGGCCTTACTGTCTTTGCTTCACATAAATAAGGGCAGCCATGCAACATATACTGAATTTCAAACAGAAGAGATATATTTATATAAATTCAAGATGCAAAAAATAAAAATATATATCCTAGACACCTAGTAAATAGCTATTCAGCTACTCAAACAAGTAACTATAACATGATCTGGATAAGTTGACAACATGGCTAATTCATGAGACCTGTGTTGAGAAAAGGGACAAACCTGCCATTAAAGACTAATCACAGCTAGAAATCAATCCTTGGTGACACAGGGTGCCACTGCCTTACCCGGGATATCCTGGATAAGTAGGGTACGGTGGTCCCTGAGCCTGTGGAGGGGGAGCAGAGCCAGGGGTCTGTGATGGCGCTGCTGAAGCAGTCCCCACCCCTGCAGGGGCAGCCGCAGCAGCAGCAGGAGGAACTCGGTTTGCAGGAAGCACAGGGGGTGGAGGCCGGGCCGGAGGCTGGGGCTTAGCAGGCTGAAAGAGACAAGCAGTGACAGAATGTGAAGTATGGGTCTCAAAGAGCAGCGAACTAGACCAACAAGGCACAGATGGGAGTGTGAATATTCACCAAACACTCCTTTACCTGCCACTCCTAATACCAGCTTACTACGCTAGAATGCAGCTGAGAAGAAGGCTCTCTCTCTAACTCTGAAGAGGCACCATTCTTCCTGCTGCTGATGCCTAGTCACATGCTGCCTCCACCAACAGTCAGACACATTACTGGACCTTCTGTCAGGCCCCAAATTCTTTTCACAATTTAGTAGCATGTGTAGCAGTGGAATCCAGTGATTGTTAACACTACTTTATCTCCTATGCTTCCGTAGAACCATCTGAAGCTGCTAGCTTCATGGCGACAGCACTCCAGACAGCAACCCTTAGCATGTCACCAAAACAATCAAGCTGTTCCCTAGGACTAGCGAATACTCAGTCAGATCCAAGATTCCCTAGTCACCTAAAAGAAAGGGTTCCTATGGCTACTTTAATGAACCAAATTCAAATCAAGGTTCATGCCACAAAAACCATAATGAAGTGTTTATTCTCATCTACAACTCCCTCCCGTGTTCCAGGTGTCTCAGAGTCTGCACCCCATGCTCTAGGTCTGTTTAGCCATTTCTGAGGATATGGTTGAACATCTGTCTCCATCACGTCATTCATTTGTGAGAGAAAGCTCATTCTAACACTGTTGTTTCACTCAGAGAATTCATGAGTACTGCTGTGTTTGCACACTGCAGGAATCAGGAGGCTGGGCCTGGTCAGAGGTGGGGACCACCAGTTTCCTCACTGCAGCCTTCAGAGCTGACCAGCTGCAGAAGATGGGCCTACTCACCGGCATGGTTCTTGGGGCTGGAGTTGGAGGGGCTGTTGCATGTCCCCCTGCTGGAGAGGACTGATATGCTGGGGGAGGGATGGAAGGAGCACTAGGCTCTCTGGCGATGCTCTGCTGCAGGTCCCTTGGGAAAGACAGGGGTTAGACTGACACCATGAAAAAATACCTAGGTCATTTTTGTTTGTTTTTCTTCACACATGATGTAAAAAGTGCCCCCAAATAATGACAGTATTCTAGAATGTGTTTTTAGTCTTGCCTAGAAAGTAAGTCTTTATTCCTGCAGTAAAACAAGGTTATTTCGAAAAACTAGCAAAGAGGGTAGATTTTTTTCAGACATCTTAGTTACAACTCAAATACAGAATGTATTAACTAGGCAAACAGCCTTCTTAGAAGACTGCTTCTTGTCTAATAAGAGGTAATTACAAAACAAAAAAACCACACCCCAATCAGTCACCTGGCTAACATTTTAATCATGATATGACAGTGTTCAAACAAAATAAATCCCAGAACCAGGGAGATAGAGGCAGAAAGAGCAGAGTCTGGGGGTAGCCCTGGCTATGTAGCAGAAAGTCTCTCTGAAACAAACAACAAAGGAATAAAACAAAGATGGGAGCTAATTATGTAGATCATTATGTAAATTCCTAGAACAATTCGTAACCTATTATTTAAAGACAAGTGTCACTGAACTATTTTATGTTCAAAGATAACATAACAATGTCACTAGAGTAATCTATAAGTAGGTAATCTGTCACTAGGGCACACTGTCACTAGGGTACTCTGTCACTGAGGTACTCTGTCACTTGGGTACTCTGTTACTGAGGCACTTTGTCACTAGGGTAAATTCACAAAAAGATACATTACTGAAAAGATATCAAAATACAGAAATATTAAGAGACAGATTCATAGTCTCTTAAAATCCAAAGTCTGTTCAGTAAATTGGAATTAACTTCAAAAGTCTGACTAAACCCCAAGATCTACACTCAGTGAGACATGGTGACCATCAGCTTCTTGGGGCACAATCAACTGCTACAGTAGGACCAGCAGTCCCTGAAGCCAAAGAGACCCTTATCATAGCCACCCCTTCCCCTGCCACACACACCCTCACTCTCAAAAGGGGCCCCAGGTGAAAAGACATTAGAGGTATATTCTTCAATGAAAGACATCGATATAAGCACTTAATGTAAGTAAACACTTCTTACAAACGGGGAGTTTTTAGTCAATAATAATATTCTAAAGGTCAGACTTTGAAAGATCTAAAATATATACATAAAGGCTTAACGTAAGACCCCCCTTAATAAACTCCAGCAGTAATCACAGTCATGGGCAAATGAGAATTTCCTACGCCTTACTAATGATATAAATCAGAAGCTATGAGATCACAGCTCAATAATGTATAACTCGGAAAGGAAACTGCCACAGCTGCTCTGCCCAGCAATCACCACTGACACTAGGGTTTGAAATCACCAGTGAAAAGAAACTGAAGTAAATGCAAAAAACATTCAATTCTTTCAAATGTTCTGCCTTTAATTAAAACATTTCAATTAACAGTGAAATTAGGAAATCTGAAGGCAAATGGTCGTAATTGGATAATTAATTAAACAGATGGAGGTCACCCAGATCCAGAAAGACCAATGTCAAATACTCTCACTCACTTTAGATTTGTGTGTTCACGTGGAATACCTGTACAAGGCAGGAAACTAGAAAGGGGCCACTGAGGGGAGAAAGAAGAAAGATCTGAAGGGAGGTATGAATAACGGAACATAGGTGACATGACAAAGGAAAGGAGAAGAGAGAGGGAGATGGGAGGGAGGGCAAAAGAAGGGAGAATGAGGTGAAGGAAGGGTTAGGGGAGGGATAACCAAACACTAGGGATATTTGAAAGAGCCATCCTGAAACATACAATTTTATAAGTTTTTGAAATATATATAGATATATGGAGATGTATATGTGAGTGCATACATATATAGATACATGTATATGTGTGTATATATATACATGTGAGTATATGTACATATATGTGCATTTGCATATATATACACACACACGTGTATATATATATGGACATATATGTGTGTGTGTGTGTGTGTGTGTGTATGTTATGTATATGAGACAGAGAGAGAGAGAAAGTGAGCATAGGTGTACGTGTATGTATGTAGGCTTGAGGTTTCTCTACACAGGGGATAGTGTTCTGGAGTCTAGTACCAGGTATGAATCGCTCTCCCTTAAGGTGTTAGTCAACAGTTCTTAAATCCTGTCCTGTTATTAACATCACAAACACAGTGTCTGTTTGAATGTGGCTCAACTTTCTCTGGGTTACTTGCTGTGTCAGTTCTCTATTACAGGCTCCGCTTTAATGGTGACTCCTGAAGAAGGGTCTGTGCTATCTTCTGAATTGTTCATCTTCCGGAGGTTAATACACCTCAGCCTTTCCCCTCTGTACCCCACTGTACTTCCTCAGCCTGAGTTTTTGCTCCTTTTTTGTTCTTTCATTCCAGATGAAAATGCCCTATGACTCTGTGAGACACTCAGAGGAGGAGAGTAACTGCTGCATCAGCATCACCCAGCTCACCAAACACAAGCACACAGCTCTGAGTACCATCTGGACACAAAGCAAACTCACTTCAAGAGCTCATCTCTTTCTGTCTTCCGTGCAAACACTATGTCACTGCATTTGTTCTGGAATCTGACCAGGATTTCAGTCAGCTCATTGTAAAACTATAAGCAAAGAACAAATACAAATAATAAGTAAAAAGCAATTTTAATCTAGGGAAAAATATAGTCTAACAATAATTTATCAATGCTGTTGAAACTAGAAGCTGAAATCATTCACGAGAAGCATTCATACAATCAATTGAGTAGCTTAGTACTAACTATGTCCTAACATTGATAAGGAAAATAAAACGAATGAGGCGATGTTTGCAGAATACTGACACTAAACATTAAAAGACAGTAAGTTAAAAGTTTTATAACTGTGAACATGTTCCCAATCCTGAGACAAAAACCAGCTACTAAGTGATGACTCTGAAGCCATCCTCATGCTGCATAAAACCTGTGCACTAACTTCAATGCAGGCATGACCAAGGGTAATGTCCAAAGCTCTCAGAGAATCCCTCAGGTCATCTGCTGGAACAAAGCACTGAGCCCCAGTGAATGGCACCACACTGTCACACCCTAAAGCTCCACAGTGCTGTCTATTCCAAGGACTACTGAGGCTAAACACTGCATCTCATCCAAGGCGACTGTACTAAGTGACAAAAGGAACTCTGCATCTAAAAAATTTACAAATCACTTGTCTCAAAAGCAAAATAATCAGAAATATAAAAAAGCCTTTCTCTAAACTCTTTAAAAGGACAAAGCAAAGAAAGCACTTAGAACCTATCTTTGATACTCAGGCAGATCCCAAGTGTGTCCTCACCACACCAGCAGAACACAGGAGCAAAGCCATGTGTCTCCCCCACCACACACATATCAGTCCCAACTATCCCTTAAGATCTTGTCACTGACTTCTGATAGCTCCGATTCCTGCTACCTGCAATACGCTAGCCCCTTCTCTATAAAGTTTATTCTTCTCTATAAAGTTCTACTAAGATGCTGCTGCCTCCACTAAGAGTTCTCCCTCTACAAGCGCAACCGAAGCAAAAGGCACTAAAACCCAATCGAAAGCACGAAGCTTGATCACTTGGAAACAGCGCAGCACCCACGCTCCTTTCCCGTCTGTACTCATCGCCCAGCCTCCCCCGCGCTCACACATACCTTTGTGCCCTCCTTCAAGTTAGCTACAAGCTCAACAAAGTTGTCATACGCAGTTGCTAGGTTCTTCAGAACTTCTTCTCTTAAGTTAGCCTCATTGTTAGACTGCTTCATTTTGGAGAATTCCTGGTGTGAGACCTTTGTAAACACACAAACAAACAAACAAACAAAATGTATAATTATTTATAAATTTAATTCAGCTTGAAATATTTTTAATTTTTCATTTATTATTTACTGAATACACATGTATGTGTGCAGGTATGCATATACCACAGTACACATTGGGAAGTCAGAGCACAAATATCAAGAGCTGGTTCTCTCCTTCCACAACATGGGTCCCAAGGATTCAACTCAGGCCATCAGGATTGGTGACATGCACCTTTATCCCCTGAGCCATCCTGATAGCCAATCAAAATATTTGTAACAGGAATGGGTATAGTGGCACATGCCTTTAATCCCAACAGCCTCTCAAAGCCGCCATCTCAAAGAAGGAAACTATGACAACAAGTGTACCAACCTCTTTTCCAGTTAGGAAATCATGATTGCTGATATGCAAATCTACAAGAAATAGCTGGAATTTGTTTTATGCCGGTACACTGCTTTGACTTTTTTCTTAAGTAAAATATTACAAATCCAATAGATAAGAAAACATAATCCATAAGTTACCAACATCTATCATTCTATAACACAAAAAACACCCAGATAAAAGTTGTTTACTTTAGAACACTTTATAGCACTATAGAATTCTGCACACTCACTACAAAAAGGCAAAGTCTCAAGTCCTGTTAGTACAAACTATTAATGTGTAAATGCATAGCTAATGTCTTATTATGTATTAGCCAGATAATTCTATAAGCACTGATGATTCCAACTAATTTTGACTCTTCCCTACACATAGCAAGAAAAAAAAAAATACTACAAATGATTTGGAAAACACTTGTCTAAAGAAACAAGGCCTTCTAACCAGTATGCAGCACCCTAGTCAGAGAAGTAGCTTTGTTTCTAGTACAGGGAACTGAACCTAGGGCCTCACACACACCAGGTGAGTACAACCTACCCTAGAGATGCTTGGTCATTGAGAGTGCACACTGCTTTGAACCCCAGCACTTGGGAGGAAGATACACAAAGATAGCAAGTTTGAGACCCACCTGTCCCACCTAGTGACTGTGAGTTCTAAGCCAGCCTGGGCTGAAAAAAACCCTTTATTATTATTATTATTATTATTATTATTATTATTATTATAAACTCTACAGATATACCATGTTCTACTCTGTGAATTCTTCATTTTTACATTTTTCAATGGTCATAGGCTGGCGTACATCTTCTATTAGAAAATAAATTTACCTGTATATTTTTTAGAAGTCCCTCCTGTTTCTTCAGAGACTCTTGAACTTTGCTTGTTAGACCACCATAGATCCGATCCAGCTCAGTGACAGAAAGAGCCTCCTCATTTATCACGCCATCTTGGGCCAGTGCTGTCAAAAACTTGCTTGTCATGTCAAAATTCACTGACTTCAGGTCATTCTCAAGACCCTCTCTTTCCTTCTTTATTTCATCAAGATTTGATAATAAGGATTTTAAGACATTCACAACCTAAATAAAAAACACATACATGGTCAATGTTACAGCATCCCTGGGAACAAAGTTCAGGCTGAGGAATGCAATCCCTGAGGACAGGGTTCTAAACATTTATTTCTATACTCAAAACACAAAACTGCTGAAAATAAATGAGCCTATCAAACAGTTACTGCAAAGAAAATATTTTAAACTAGTTTGGTGTTACTCAAATCCAAGCATTGGGAGGCAGAGGCAGGTAGATAACTGTTGAGTTCAGGCTAACCTGAACTACAGAATAAGTTCCAGGCCAGTAAAGGCTACACAGAGAGAGCTTGTCTCAAAAAGAGCAGCGAGAGGAGAAGAAGGGCAAGAAGAGCAAGAAGAGCAAGAAGGGCAAGAAGGGCAAGAAGGAGAAGGGAAATGGGAAGGGGTCGGGAAGAAAACAGTACTTCAGCACTGGGTACCAGCAGTCAGCATGATGAACTGTTACTGTGTGACCAGGGCAGGTGAGTCCCTGGAAAGGTCCATTGGGAGATGAAAATAGTCCTTTTTAGGACCACTGCAAAGACCACAGTGTCCCTTATGAGGTGTTCAACAGAATTCAAGATTTGCAATCCCCAGCACAGGGCCGACAGAGCCCACTCTGCAGTCTGGCACCTGAGCTATGTGGTATAACTACAAACCTTGCATACATTTTGAACTACACAGAGGCTTCGAAATCTAAGCACTCAGACAGATTAAAAAAAGCAATGAGAAACAGATCAGGACTTATTTATTTATATTTATTTTTTTATTTATATTATTTATTTAATGAATTTAAACTTACCTCTTTAATTATATGCCATAATTTTATGTGGCAAAAATTATAAGATTAAAATGTCAGAAAATCTATACAGTGAGCGGGCTGGGGAGATGGCTCAGTGGGTAAACACTAGGTCCTGAGCTTGGATCCCCAGTACCCGTGGTTTGATTTGTTTTGTTTATAAAAAAAAAAAAAAAAGGCTAGCAGCAGTAGCACAGGCTATAATCACTCTCCACCCTCCCGACCCCAGCAGTAGAGGAAGTGAAGAGGAACAGGAAAAGGAACACAGGGACTTATGAGCCTGACTTATGAGTTTGACAAGCCAAACAACATCAAACTCCAGATGTACTGGAAGATCCTGTTTCAAAAAATGAGGAGAAATGATAGAGGAAGACATTCAGTGGCAATCTCTGACCACAAATGTTTGTTCATGCATATGTGAACATGTGCTTTCACGCATCGACCATAAAATAATGTTACTTAATTTTCTATTAGCACATTTAAATTGATAACGGACTAAGTTTATTTTAAATCTCTGTATAAACTGTATGACTAGCAAAAAAAAATCAGAATGAAAGAAGGAGAAAAGGACAAGTGGTACCATCCTCAGGTCTCACTGCGGATGGGGCCCAGTGGACAATGAGGAAGGCCTCCCCACAGAATACCTGCCCATGTCCGCTGGCATACTGAGTGACACAAAATAGAGGATCCTAGCAAACTAGTGGAACCTCAGAATGGGCCCAAAACAGGACAATTGCATGTGCTGACAGCCACAGTGCCACTGGGATGGTTGGCTACTCCAGAGCTCATGTAGATTCCCCATTGGTCCAAAGGCTATATAAAAATGCTTGCTGCTGTGCAATACAGGAGATCTGCACCTCGATGATGGTCTCTGGAATCTGCTTCCTCGGGTTCATGATTCTGCCTCTCTCACTCTCTCCTGATCCCAGTTCCCACATCTCATCAGAAATCAAAGTGTAGAAAAAGGATATCTGCAGAAGGGCAAACAAGCTAGAACCCACAGCTGGAGCTCCACTGTCTGAAGACAAACTGTGTGCCTCAGACACAGCACAGAAACTTAAACTTAGATCCTCTCACCTATTTAGCAGGCCTAAATGATGGTGAGAATCACCCCCACTAGTGAGCCACACTTGGACACAGGTTCCTCCCCAGTGAGGAACTGCACACAAGCAGTGAAGAATGCACGAAGAGGCCTAGGGTTTCTAAGAAAGAGTGTAAAACCACCTCTATTTACAGCTAAAGCCTGCCTACCTCCTGATTTTCACGAACATCACTTTTTAACCATGGAAATAGTGACCAAGTTCCTACACTTAGCAAGTCTTGTGCTATTTCAAAATGTCATGGTTCTAAGTCTCTGAAAAATATATCATTTTAAACAACTGATTTATGATTGTGTGAATACCACATACAGACCAAGACAGCTAGCTCCCTTGTGTCACAGGGACCTCTAGTCTATCCTGGTAATTAATGGGCAACTACACTAGCTTAACTATAGTTCAGACTGCATGATACTGCCCTAATTTTAAGAAAGTAGATAATGAGAAAAAATGGATTTAACTGCCTACATAGATGAATGCCCAGTATACAACAACAACAAAATGCCTAAATAATGGATTCAAGGATGGCCTTGAACTCTCTACCCTCCAGCTAAGCCTCCGAGTGCTGATATTATAGGTGTAAGTTTGTCATTACTAATAAATCTGTTTATAATCAGCTTTTAAATGCAACTACCTAAATTACTTTATTAAATCACGCTGCCAGCAGTTACTATTCCATCAAATGTGGGACAGCTTTCTGGGTTATTGAGTTAACTATGTTAATTACCGCTCCAGTTAGCGACTACCTTCACTTGACAAGCAGACAACAGACTGATGGAGGAACAGCTGGGATCTGAGTCAAGGAAAAGGCATGGTAGGATAGAAAGTCCTTAAAGAAAACACAAATGTAAAAAACTCCTTGGGTAGGATGAAGTTAACAGACTGGGAAGGAGGATCTTGCCACAGCATAGAACCAAGAAGCTTTGGCTTCTGGAAAAAGTATATGTCACAAAACTTTATCAAACTATTTCAAATGGCTAGGTGTTTGGTTTTTGGTTTTTTGGTTTGTTTGTTTGGTTGGTTAGTTTTTGCTTTTTTTTTGTTTTTAATGAAAATAGATTTAATACCCCTAACAATGAGTAAAGAGACACCTTGATGGTGTTTTTATATCAGTCAGGGACAGAGTCCTTTGTTTATCTGAGCCTGATGCCTGGCTTTGTGACCAAAGCTTTTTTATGCCTAGGACTCATAAAAACCAATCAAATTGAGACAGTACAGCACAGAAGGAAGACAGACCTGCCCTCCAGAGCACTGCACAGGTGGGCTACAGATTCCTGCTTGCTGCCACACCACACAGCAAGGACTGAAGATGTCACCTAGGGGCCTACCAGACATGTGGCCAGCCTTCAGAGGGAGCCACCACAGTGTCAAAGTACGTGAACAGATGGGAGAGAAAGAAGTGGAGCAGGCTGAGTGTGAGGCAAGCAGACCATGGCACCAGACAGAAGACCTGGGAAGGTTGAAGCAGGCTTAAAAAGCACAGGCATTTTTATAATTGAGAACGGCAAGTATTAGAACCAGCTCCTGGCCATGGTCTACCTGTCCTGGAACACATAACCACAATACCCCACAGAGAGGACCATGATAACCTATCACGTAGCATAAAAACCTAGGTCTTCATGCTAATGAGGTATCTAAATAGGTCCCACATGTTTATCCAATAAGCTTCCCTTCCTGGGCATCCCTTTCTGCAAAAGGTATTTAATCCTTGGTTCATCCTGAGTAAGACATGCATTCACATCCTCCATAATAAAACATTTTGGACAAGCAAGGACATCTCCTTCATCAATGATCACTACAGAGAAGAGGGCAGGGGGCCTTGTCATAAAGAGTTAAGCCTAAATTTCCCAGGAAAGGACTCTCTTCCAGCCCCTCTGTATTTTCAGCACTCACTTGAACAGACCAGAATTTGCCCCATCCTGGGATCAGCCATCCCCTTCCTGCCTGATGCATAGAGGAAGTGGGGGCCTGTGGACCATCGTGCCCAACTCATGGTCCCCAGCAGCGCCAAGGTATACAGAAGGCTAGGAACTACCATTCTCAATGGTATCTGGGTACACAGGAAAATGAGAACCACAATATTTGTCCCAACCCCTGCTGTTTCACAACCAGGAAAACTCGGGCTAGGACCCCCTATACTCCGATTGTGTCCTGCCTTCCCTGAGCAGCATGATGATGGCACCCCAGCATCCCAGGGGATCCCAGAGGAGAGGCAGGCACAGGCCACACTTGACCATTATGGAGATGGAAGTGGAGACACAAGACTAGAGAGGAGCAGCCTGTTGTGAGTGGTCAGTCCAAAATCTATTCCATCTGCAAACAGTTGGGATGCTTTAAAGAGCCAGTCCTGCTGATCCAAAGCTGCAGCATCTCCATGACACAAGACAACAACAGGGAAGACGCCCGGTTAGGATCCAATATTGACGGTGTCACAGAAGCCAGAAATCTCAAGCCAGGTCAATGACTCATCGCAGTGAACAGTTGCAAGTGAAGGTGTGTAGACAGAGGGATATAGTGTGAGACATATCGTGACATACTATGAGAGATGAGATGTGTAGGCAGGTTTTTGCACACTGTGTAAAAACTATCCTTGTGTTATCAAATGCTGATTTTTCTGCCCTCGTACCTTGTTTCAATCCTGTAATGTTTATTTCATGAATCTCCTGTCTCAAGTTTCTATACACAATGCTTATCAGTTATTCTCAGCCTTGTCAATAAAAGTTGATCAGGCAACGGCTGGGCAGAAGACTTCCAAACTGGTGACCCACACTACTGTCTAAATCCCAACAGCAACCCCTTATGCTCTTCCTGCTGAGATTATAAACTTGTAACCAATCACTGTCATGTTTGTACATGACTAATGTTCCACACTGGACAACAAGTTGAGATAGATAAAGGCTATATTCATTCGCTAATTTTACAAAGTACTTAACACAGTATCTCACACAGTAAGTCTTGCTAGAATATATAAAATTATTCTATACAAAGAGAAATCTATTATGCCTGGAAATGTACCTTTTCAATATGCTGGGTGTTTCTTGCTTGGCTGGACTGATTTCCTAGGCAGCAGGGAGCATCCATCCTAATGTAATACAACCTTCCTTACAGCAGCCACCACCACATTCTGCCTGCATTTTCTCTCTGCTGTAAGACTTCCTTAACAAGAGGCTCTGTGGTTTTCTCTTTCCTGCCATCATTAGAAATATCATCCTGATGCTATCCATCTACTAACATGCACACCTTGCAAATTTCCCTTCCTACCAGCCTCATGTGGAATATGACAGGAGCCAGAAGAAACCCATAAGGAACAAAGGAATCATGGTTGGAAGACTCCCCGACTGCTTCACCCCAAGGGAAGTTTCTGTCCTCTCCAAGCCTCCCTCTTTTACAAACTCTGAGTTAAACACTGTTAGCCTATGAAGTACCAGCTCACAAAAGTAACTCAACAAATGAAACTTCCAACAGGATGTTAATCAATAACTCCATTATCACTCAATGTATAGAATACTAGTTTTGATATAACAACCCTAATTTACTTCTATATGTGTTTATGTGTTTGTGTGTTTGTCTACAAGAATGTGTAGTACTTGGAATCAAACCCAAAGCCTCGTACAAGCTAAGCAAAACGTCTACCATGAAGCTACACCTCAAGTCCCTTTCAGCTTTGTTTGAGTTGACAATAAGACCCTGGCAGGTCTCTACAAAGCAACTTGAACAGAGTCCCATAAACACAGGAGCACCCATATCAAGTTCTCCCTTCTCACCTCGCTGCCCTGCATGGTCTTTGCTGGGTTAGCAGAGGGGATGGCGGCATTGAGCTCCGGCTCCGGCTTACACAGAAGTGCAATGGTGTCTCGGTGGGACTGGTAGCGCTCCTTCACTTGTCCATCCGCTTGCACAGCTTTATCGAGAACGGCTCTGAATTTGGCTCCCTCTGGGGAAAAGAGTTTCCAGAACTCAGCAGGCTGATGGGACTGACTAGACTTTTAAAGCTCTGGTCCTCAGCTTGATCTTCCTTCCCTTCTGTAGGCCCTAATTCACTAGGCAATAGACCTCAACTTCTATCCACCTGTGCAGTTGGGATTTAGGAAAAAAACAAAATTACTTATGAAGCTAGGGAACAGTAATTTGTAGCCACTTGGTTAACATCTGCCCAAGTAAAAGAAAACTGACATTTGTCTAGTTTCTTTCTAGAACTCATAAATACAGAAAGGAATCATTCATGCCAAAATAGGGTATAACTCACTGAAAAAGTACTCCTCTCAAGGGATGCTCTCACTTCAAAGAAAAAAAGAACCATTTTCAGATATATCTAACAGAAATAAAATCTCTAGCTAAAATGAAGGTATTATTTATTGTAAGCACAAATCTTAATAATCAAATTCTTAAAAGGTATAATTTATTTCAAAGCAGCTGTTAAGGCTCATTTTTAATCACCTAGGACTCACTAGGAAGTCATAAAGGAGTTACCAGACCATACATATCACTTCACGCGTGTCTTTAAAATACACATGGGGCTTGGGAAACCTTGAAGCTTGTAGGGTCAGCTTAGCTTTACCCATCACAGTGAACTGAGATGAGCGTCATTACTGTTTTATTTCTGTTAACAAGAAGTGCCTGGGTTTTCATTATTCATACACAGCTAAGTAAAAAATGAGTTTACAACTAAGTCTAATTTTTAAAAATATGTGAATAAATGGCAACTTCCTTGCATACAGGTCTTCTGTGCCATGGTTACCTGCTCTTAAAGGCTTGTACAAGTCATTGGATGGAGTCCTTTGCCAGCGCTCCTTGAATTTTGCTCTTAAGTCATTATCAGTTGCTTCTTCTTCATCCAACAATCTTAGTGACTATGGAAGCAAAAATCATTGAGTCAGCATTGTTAGCATTAAAAAAAAGAAACCTCAAATATTTTTATTGTTGTTTATGAGGCCTGAGAGGGTTACTCATATGGTTTGGTTTTATGAGTGTCTTGCTACATAGATAGCTAGCCCAGAACTTGCTATCTAGAGCAGGCTGGCCTCAAACCTACTACAATCCTTCTGCTGCCATTTCCCTGAGTGTTGGAATTATAGGTATAAGCCACCAGGCCTGTTACTGTTTTAATGATCATACCCAATAAAGAAGATAACTAACAAGGTGGAAAAATTTCAATACCACTAATTGCCTGCTATGTAGATCTTGTTTTGTTGGAAATGGTCTCAATATATACCCACACTGGCCTTGGATTTGTGATCTTCCTGCCTTCTAAATGCTAACATTATAGTTATAAGCTACCATATCAGTTTAGTACAAAAAGTCGTACATTCTTGTTGCAGAAATGTGAGTTACAACATGACAAAAACTTGATCTGGGGAGGTAGCTCAGTAATAGTGGAAAGCTTGCCTAACAGGTGTAAGGTACTGGGGGGAAAAAAATATATACACACACACACACACACACACAGTGTGTGTGTGTGTGTGTGTGTGTGTGTGTGTGTCACAGTCAGAGTAAGGGTAGCTAGCTAGTATCTTTCTCAGTAAAAGAAAACAGGGTACTCAATGGGTACAGTGTTTGCGTAGCATGCACACAGCCATGGCTTCAGTCTCTAGCACCACATAAAAACATAAAAACAGGTACAGTGGGCATGGTGGTGGTGTCACAAACCTTTAATCCCAGCACTCAGGAGGCAGAAGTAGGTGGATCTCTGAGTTCAAGGCCAGCCTGGTCTACAGAGTAAGCTCCAGAACAGGGCTACTCAGAGAAACCGTCTCCAAAAAAACCCACAAAACAAGCAAACAAGAATAGTGTCACATGCCAGTAATTCAGCATACAGGGAATGGAAGCAGGAGGATTAGAAGTCAAAGTCAACATTCCAACATGGATGGGAGAGGGGCTGGGTAGTATGAACAAGGATGGCCCCTTAAGGCTTACACATCTGAATGCTTAGTCATCAAAGAGTGGCACTATTTTAGAAGGATTCAGCAGTGTGGCCTTGTTGTTGGAAGTGTGGCACAGGGGTCTGAGGTGTGAAAAACCCACACTAGACCTCAGTCAGCTTTCTCTGGATCAGGACAGAGCTCTTGGCTCTGCCTCAGCACTATGAGTGACACCATGTTCCTCACCACACTGATGATGAGCTAACCCTCAGAAAGTAGAAGCAAGCTCCCAACTAAAGGCTTTGCCCTAGTCACAGTGTTTCTTCACAGCAACAGAACAGTGACTACGACAGGAGCTCACAAGGCTCCGCCCCCTAACTAGCAACTGGTGGCTGCTGGGGGGAGGCAGTATTTTCCTTCTGTGGTGTGGGATCTTGTGGGTTGCCTACATGGATAGCATTCGTACACATGATAGCAGCACTAACTGGATTTACTGGATTGGGGGTTGGGGAGAGCAAGAGAATGTGAAGGTAGGAGGGGTAAGTATGGGAATGGTCTGAGAGGTTGGAGAGGTGCCAGAGTTGGGGTTGGATAGATTACATACATGTATGAAACAGTCAAAGAATACATTTTTAAAATTCTAAAAACAAAAAAAAAAGAAAACTAACTGAGTTGGAAAATGTTTGCCTAGCTTGCACAAAGACCTCTGTTCAATGTCATAAACTGGGACTGGTGAATGCATACCTGTACTTCTAGCCCTTGGGAGGAGTTGGGGAGTGGGTGGCAGTGAGTTCAGGTTCAAGGTCACTCTCAACTACTCCCAGGCCAGCCAAAATTACATGAAATTATTTCAAACAAGAAAGAAAGAAAAATAACCACAAAAGGAAAACACTGAGTGTAAGAGTTGCCAGGTGTGTAATGCCTTTCTAATAGCTTAAAAAAGCTTCCTCCTACCTAGAAGAATTCACTTTAAACCCAGAGCTCAAAGCATCCATAGGATACAGGGACCGTGAATTCACAGTCAAACCTCATTCAACAGTAAGCACAACATAACAATGTGAATGGGCCATGGGGTACAAGGACATGGTATGTGCACGAGAGCATGTATAAAACCTGATACTACAATATTCTCGCTTCTTAGTTTAAGAAATGTATCACAGCCCCTAAGATCTTAACTCAGAAGTGTGATTCCATGTTTCCTAAGAAGCCTGAAGTCCAGGTCTGGGGCTGCAGCACAGTTGGTAAAGAGCTTACCCGGCATGCACAAAGCCCTGTGTTCAGTCCCCAAGCACTGCATAAACTGCGTGTGAGGGTGTATGCTTATAACTACAGAACTCAGGAGGTACAAGCAGGAGGATCCAAAGTTCAAAGTCATCCTTGACTACAGGCCAGCTTGGATAGCAGAAGCAAAAGCATGAACAAAAACAAAAATCTGCTATCTAATACAGAACCTAATGTTCATACACAAAGGAAATGACTCATCATGAAGTGTTATACCTGAACAGTTTGATTCCCGCAGTTTACTAGTATGCACCAGTTATTGGCCATATGACTAATTTAGCTAATATGCATTTATTTTCCCCTAAGAATGGCTCATTGTCACTCAGTGGAATTCTTCCTGCAGCTGATCTCAACCAGGCACTGAATATTACCCCAGAAAGCCATGAGTCCTAATCCTACTAGACACCACAAGAACAGTTTCTACTTGAAAAGCCAGTCTTTTCAAACATACCTCCTCTAATATTTCTCTATTTCTTTGTAGTAACTCAGGTAGCTCTTTTATCAGCTGGTCGACAGTCTGGATGCCTCCCTGTTCAACTACAGATGTAGACTTGGTAAGTATAGACTGAGGTACAGTGTCTCCAGACACATCTTCAATTGCTGCTGGAAGGTTAAGGGAAGCCAATACTCTGCAAAATAGGAAACAAGTTGTGTCATGTACAAGTCTACACTGCCTTTAAAATAGCAGTCACTTAGCCAAGTGGTGATAGCACACAACTTTAATCCCAGTACTGGGAGGCAGGTGGCTCTGTGAATTCAAGGCCAACCTGGTCTACAGAGTAAGATCCATGATAGCCAGAGCTAAAACAAAGAAACCCTGTTTCAAAAAATCAAAATAATTAATAAATAAATATATATATATTTATATATATATTATTATATATTATTATATTATATAATATAATTATATGAT